TACGTGATTAATCTTTGTTACTGAATTATGGACATTATCAAGGAAGAGAGAATAGCCTTTTCATCATTATGTTACACATGTAAGTTATGTAAGTTTGTGTGCGTGTGTGTTAAAGGATTTGATAATTAGTTACCATTCTCTCAACATACATACACACACTTTCTCTCTCACTCTTTCTCTCTGAAAAACAAACATCCCCCGCTCTCTCTCTCTCTCTCTCTCTCTCTCTCTCTATATATATATATATATATATATATATATGGAAAAGGTGTGAATCCTTTTCTTCTCCCTCCAGCTATGGGTAAATAGCAGGACAGACTGGGTTCTATAGCCTTGGATGGCAACTGGTCTAGGAGAAGGACAGCTCAGAATTCAAAACCTGCGGAGGGTCGTTCAAAAAGTTCGTTCTGCACAAAACCTTCACCATTATAATCAAATCACATGTGCAGGTTGTCTGGCTGTCGGCTCCTAGGAACTGAGTGGCCTGACCCTAATACGTCGTAAAAGGCTCCCTGGTAGGAGCAGGTCAACAACAACAGCCCGCGACGATCAACGACGCGAAGTCCACGATATATATATGTTTATGTAGAGAAAGAGAGAGAGAGCGGGGGATACTGTTTCATTGACCTGATTATTTGTTTCGACATCGTTCCTTAGACTTCCTCAGATCAGAATGTAAGAAATATGTGTTTGTATGTTTGTGTTTGTGCTTCAAAATGAAATCATTTAACTTTTTCCCGCTAAGATGGTGTCCCTCGTTCGGGGTCAAAGAACAAAATTGTGTGACTTTTGTATAAAAGCCGTTATTTTATGTTGTTGTTTTTTTCTTTTCAATTTTTTTGTTTTGCTGAAATTTCTTTTTATACTCTCCCATTGAATTTAAGGTAAATCCTTATCCAATTTTTCAGAATGGGTTGAAAGTAAAATATTCATATATTTTAGGTGTGTCTTTGCCTTTTCAAAGGATTATTATATAAAAAATATAAATGCTACTCCATTAAGATGCTGTGTACATTTATCCAGTGTACCGTTCTAGCATACTCATTCACGAGTTGCTTTTCTTTGTGTGTTAAATCATTGATAGATTAATAGAGATCTGATGATCGCTGAAGGTGTGAAACTGCAAGTCAATAAGCGATGTTAATTTTCTCTATGTTCACACTCATTGTTTATAATCAAAACACTCCGATATTGGACGTTCTTCACTCATAAACATAGCAAATTTTAAACAGCATACACACAGATACACACTTACACACAGGCGCGCATGCACATACACGCACACACACGCACACAGAAACACACACACACACACACACACACACACACAGACACAAGTATATATAAGTGTGTGTCTGTGAATTACAATCAATGAGATCCAAACATTTACACACACACACACACACACACACACATATATATATATATATATATATATATATATATATATATATATATACGTGTGTGTGTGAATTTACCTTTTTATATATATGTTATAAAATCGCTACAAATATAACCATTTTGTTTCAACACTTTTAGTGTCTTCTCAAGTGATGGTGTTGAATGTAGAATAAAGAGTTTTAAAAATGTTCAAATCCTATATATATATATATATATATGTGTGTGTGTGTGTGTGTGTGTGTGTGTGTGTGTGTGTGTGTGTGTGTGTGTGTGTGTGTGAATTACAATCACTGAGATCCAAATAATTTTACGTTTGGATCTTATTGATTGCAATTCATTTATATGCTCTATAATAAAAATTATATTGAGCTCTCTTTTGTGGATCAGTTTTAATATTATCTATTTATAGGATCTACTTGGATTACTTACCCACGGATTTTATAATATATATATATATATATATATATATATATATATGTCACTCACAAGGCTTGTGGCAACCCGTTGTATGTTTTACAGACACTTTCAAAGACACCAGACGCTGGGGTCGCCTTTACTGGCCGATAATACAAGAAGTCATCTTTCTGAAAAATCGATCTTGGTGAAATTCGAACCCGGATAGAGGAACTATGGTAACTTAAGTCGTCTCGATAGGCATGTAGTAGTGTAACCGATGTAATTATTTATGAGTTTGGTTTGATCAGAAACACAGTTCCTTAAGGGATATGTGTTACTGATCAGACCTAACTAATAATTACATCGGTCACACTACTACATACCTACCCAGACGACTTACGTTACACCTACCCGGCCACATATCCATTAGGACTTATTTAAACACATACAAAAACCTACCAGACTCCATCTGAAATATATTACTAAAAAATACAAGCATAATAACCTCAACCACATGTAAAAATTGATTAAAAATAATGAAAGCCCGAATAATAAAAAAGAAGAAAAAAAAACAACATCCAATAACATTAGCTACGAACACAGCCACAGTATGCTGACCATGTTTAGAAAATAAAACATACCTATAACTCTAAATACAGACACACAACCCATACATTGAGGTAAAAACTAAAAATAAAATCATCCTTCATAACGGCTAAAAAATAGCCGAAATTGCTCGGAAATGCAGAAAATTTTACACACTTACGAACACAAGAAAAATTAAATAAAAAGCTTAATCGCAGTACCTTGTCAGTCGTCTTTAACGAAATATATATATATATATATATATATATATATATATATATATATGCACTCACCAGTCACTTTATTATGTATACTCTTTTACGAAGTTGGGCCTTTAGAATTCTTCTTGGCGAGGATTCGAGAATGTTATGTAATAACACTTTTCCAAATTTTGGTCGATGCTCTTACTGTTTCTTCGATATTGGTTGGCTTCTATAGATTCAGGATTCTAATCTACCGTTCCACCACGTCCCAAAAGTGCTCTATGAGATTGAGAACCAGTAATTGTGGAGATCACTTTAACACAAAATTTAATTGATGAACTCCACCAGTCTCATCAGATTAAGCAACGTTTCCTAATTTTCTCTTGTCCGCTTCAATGGCAACTGTTCTAGATCTTTTTTTAATCATTTTAACGCTTCCAAAACAAAACTGCCTTCTTCTAATTGTCTTAGAGAACATTTTCTTGCTTTCTATGAGCATGGTTGATGCTAACCTAAATTGCGCTTGGTCTAATGTTTTCCATTGACATAAAGTGGAACGATTATATTGAATGAATTGCTTTGTCTGCTACGAAAAAAGTTGGTTCACTGTATCGTCCGTCCTGGGTATGACGATAAACTACATCCATCAGCAAGGTCTCTGATCAGGAGATTTTGAGGAGCGTAGAACCACCTCTTAATTGTTGATATTCCCAGGTTTACCCTGACCTGGGGTGGTAGCGCACATTAGGGTCCCAGCTATGGGCAAATAGTTAACTCCCAAATTCGGGTCAAAACACTATGAAAGTATAAAAATAGGTTTTATTACCAGTAATGAATTTTTGGAAAATATATTAGCGGCAATAATTTTTTGGAAAAAAATATTACTATCAATAAAAATCTTGTCGGCATTAAATAACCCATTGAGGTTGATATGCCGTAAAACAAAACAAATCAAATCACTGTGTCATGCCACCCAATTGATCTCGCTAGAATCTATCTTGCACCTATAAATCGACCATTTGCCAGTAGATTAAATATTGCTGCCACATTTGGTTTTGTGCTTTTGAAAGAATCCAAAGAAGAATTTGCAGGATTATTGGTCATGACCTGGCATCTCGGCTCCGGTCACTTTCCCAACCGCCATAGCGTAGCTTCCATGTGCATTTTTTATAAATAATTCAATGATAATTTTTCTTATGAACTTTCTTCTTTGGTGCCTAGATTTTATGAATTTAAGCACAGTACTGGATTGGCGGATAGGTTTCATCATTTTACAGTTGAAATGACCAGATGTAGCCGTAAGTTCTATGCAAACAGTTTCTTCTCTTGCACTTCGCGCTTGTGGAACTCTCTTAAGTCTTTTTGCTGTAGCCCAACAACTTCAAGGTTCAACTTGTTATACGTTCAGAGCTACCCTTTTGTATACCCCCGTTTTTTATTTTATTCTATTCGGTCGAGCTAGCTCGAACATTCATGAGTCTATCACGTCAATCCTCATGGGCATGTATCAAGGTCGGAGGTCACTAGGGTGGCATTCTGTGCCATAACATCGCTGGACAATGTAGGTGGTTTCTGAGCGACCAGCTCATCTTGTGCCATGGCTAGTGAGTTTTATATATATATATATATATATATATATATATATACATATATATATATATCGCCATCCATGGACAGACTGTTTCACAGCTCATCAGTGCGGTTAGACATCCGATTACTTCAAGCCTGGATTGAAACCCGACCGATTTGGCATCAGTCGGAGATTCTAAACCCTTGGCTATCGGCACCTGGCATATATATATATATATATATATATATATATATATATATATATGGAAAAAAGAGAGAAGGAGAGAAAAGGAGAAGAGGGAGACTCGCACCCACCTATGTCAATTAATCTGTCTCTTTCCGTGCATGCGTAAATATAAATATCTGCTATGATTTATGATTTTTTTTTACTTTTCTTAAATGCTATACAGTCAATATATACATGGAGATGCGCATACATACATACATATGTGTGTGTTTGTGTATGTGTTTCTGTGTATGGGTGTGTGAGTGTGGGTGTCTTCATTTTCGATTACATATATAAATGTGGGGAAGTGTGTCACTTAGTGTGAGTTGGTTATACAAAACATAAGATGCATTTATTTACATAATTATCACCTGTCCCATTATTATTTTTAAAACCTCACGTGTATTCTTCGAATCGATGACAAGTCATTTTCTTCTGTGCATGTGTTACATTAAAAGAATATATATATATATATATATATATATATATATATATATATATATATATATATATATATATGCGTTTGTGCCTCTGTGTGTACATTGCAAACAAGGAGTGTTGATTGATAAACAAAAGCACTCCTACAGAAAATGTCTTTCAAGCACTCGTAACACTTGAAAATGTCCTTTTTATCTATAAGGAGCCGAATTATTCAGACGACGTGTTCTCACCTGTCGTAATGAAGTGATGGGATGATATTTGTCATAAGAGCAAAGTGAGACATTCGAACTAGACGCTCTGGTGTCTGACAGGTCTGTCCAGGTTCTATAACAGAATTTAAAATGATTGAAATTCTCCTTTTTTTTTTTACTCTCTCACCCTATGTCTCTCTCACTCTTCCTTTCCAATAATAGACACATAATTATGAATAATTACAAAAGGAAAAATTATCTTAGCCGATGCATTTTGTCCTCTAACGGTCTTTATCAAGGCAAATGTGAGGATTTTATTTTGCTCGAATTATTTATAAACAAAAGTAAAAAGGCTAGTTTTTGAAAATGTTTAAATTTAAGACACGCTCATAAATATTCATCAGGTTAACTTAAAAGTCTAGGTAAAAAAATGAGTAAATGATGATGTTGATTTTTTTATGCAATTAATATTTAAATTATTTTATTATGGGATGAATTTATGTATTATATATTTTAAAATAATAGGTTATGAATCTAACCGTTTTCTTTTAATTTTTCTAATGATTTTATAGTCATTTATTTTGGCTTGGGAAAGAGCAATTCTTTCATGAATAAGGTATTTGAAAAAAGACCCAGCGCATATATATATATTTCTGGCCTCTGTACTAGTGCTGCCATGTTTCTCCCGTGATGTATGTAGTCTGTGGCATTACCTCTTCATTCTGAGGGTACACAGTTGACAGTTTCCTGGTTGCTGTTTCCGACTGGTAGCTAGGAGCCCTAACTCTTGCGTAGCGTCTTGAGCGGCCGCTCTGATCAACAGTTGTATAATACGGGGGTGTCTGTAGTGCCATGTCGCGCATGGAAAGGTGCCCTGCAGTCACCTCCGGTGGGCAACCCTGAGGCCACATTATGATGCAGGCTGTGCCAACTTCTCTCTGCCCACGTCACAGTCGATAACCGTCTGCTTCTTTTACTTCAGGCCTTCTCATCTTCCAACCATAATTCCACATGATCAAAAACGTAAACCTAAACCAGCCCTTCAAAAATCACCTAAACCGTTTAACATCTCCAACATCCGTGGCATTAGAACCATTTCTGCAGTGTGGAATCTTTCCTCACTGCAAACCGCCCGGATATACTGGCTCTGTGTGAGACCAACCTTGACTCGTCTATCCCCTCCTCTGATCTCTCGATCCCCGACTACCTTCCTCTATTTGGAAAAGACTCTCAAACCCACATGCATGGTCTTGGTGTTTACGTCAAGGAACATCACCCACTGGCTAGAGAGTTGTCTCTCGAATCGCCAGTCTATTCGTACATGTGTCTCCGGTTATCATTTCTCAATGCTGTAAGCTATCTCTTCTTTCTTTATCGCTCTCCCTCCTCTCAAGACTGTGGAATAGTCGATAGTATTTCTGACAGCATAGACAAGGTTCTCTCTCTCTCCATCCGTTTGCTCACATATTAGTGTTTGGCGATTTTAACGCCCATCATACCAAGTGGCTTAAGAATGCTACTACTGACCTTGCAGGCATTCAAACACTTAATTTTTCAGTTTCTCAATCCCTCACGCAGATAGTTGACTTCCTCACGCGTTGTACCTACAAATGGGACGGTAAGGCCTCCATTCTCGATCTATGTTTTACCTCAATCTCCGAGTCTTGTAGCGCCACGCAGCTCTGTCCTCTTAGTAACTTTGATCATGCTGTAGTGTCTGTCAACATCTCCTTCAACTCCACCCCCCTGCAAAGAACCTCCTACCATTAGAACCTCGTTCTGCTATCAACGAGCAGACTGGCACTCGTTCCGTGATTTCCTCCGCGATGTCCACTGAGGTGTTATCTCTACGCTCCCCATTGAAAAATGTACTTCTGAGGTCTCCTCGGTTAAAGCTGGAATAGACGCTTTCATCCCCTCAAGGAAATATAAGGTCAAATCGCGCTCCTCACCTTGGTTCTCCGCTGCTTGCTCAGTCGCTATTGCCCATAGGAACCACTTCTTCTACCTATATCGTAGCGACATGTCCGACTGAAATAGACGTCTCTTTGCCTCCGCCCGTAACGAGTGTAAGTGTGTCCTTAACGAAGCTAAGTCACTATTTGCTGCTCGAATGAAGGAACGTATTGCATCTCGCAAATTCGGCTCCAAGGATTATTGGCGTCTCTGCAAGAGCGTACTTAACAATAGCAAACCCTCTATACCTCCTTTGTTCAATCAGTTTGAGGTCCTGACCTCCTCTTCTGACAAGGCTGAACGCTTTGCTCGGAAATTTTCATTCAATTCAACGCTCGACTCTTCCGGTGTACCCATACCTGATTTCCATTTTAGAACTGATGTCCTATTGAGCGGGTTGCACATAACCCCGTCATTGGTATTCGGCATTATCTCTAACTTAAACCCCCACAAGGCTAGTGGTGGAGATGGGATACCAGCCATCGTCTTGAAGAAATGTGCGCCTGTCTCAAGGAATCTTGTTTTCCAGACTGCTGGAAGTCCTCATCGATTATTTCTGTCTTTAAGAACTCTGGCGACCCATCTGACCCTTCTAATTACCGTCCTATCAGTCTCCTACCCCTCTTTGGCAAAGTCTTTGAAGCTTTAATCAACGCTGAAGTGGTTAACCACCTTACATCCCATGATCTGCTCTCAGACAAGCAATATGGTTTCCGCTTTGCCCGATCTACAGCTGATGTGCTTATGGCCATCACTGAAATTGTCTACCAAGCTCTTCAAAATAACGGAGAAGCTCGTGTCGTGCCCCGAGACATCTCCAAAGCGTTTGATAGGGTTTGGCATGCCGGCCTTCTTTGCAAGCTCCAGGGTTATGGTATTATAAGTTGATTGTTTGATTAATACAATCATTCCTGTCAAACCGTGAATTGAAGGTCGTTCTCAACGGATTCTCCTCCAGCTCCTATCCCACGAACGCGGGTGTTCCCCAAGGCTCCATCCTAGGCCTTACTCTGTTCCTTATCTTCATCAACGATCTTCCTGACGTCATAGATTCCCAATTAGGCATCTACGCGGACGACACTACAATTTACTCCAGCCTCAAAAACAAAACTAGTGTCGCTGACAAAACTAACCTGGCCGCTTGTCTTGAAATGGACCCCCAATCGGTTGTTAATTGGGGCAAGAATTGGCTGGTCAACTTTAACGCCTCACAAACTAAACTACTCTCTATTAATCACCATAGAAATCCTTCCCTGCCCCCATTAGAATGTCTGATAGTCAACTTCTTGAGAGCAACTCTCTGCGTCTGCTCGGTCTCACGTTGACTGCTGACCTGAGATGGAATAAATACATTGAGTCCATTGCTTCGTCCACCACGAGAAAATTTGGCTCTCTGTGCCGCGCCAGGAAATTTTTCTCCCCGGAATCGATCCTTCAAATCTACAAATCAACCATTCGCCCTTACATGGACTATTGCTGCTATATATGGTATGGAACCCCTTCTGTTTGCCTCAGGGTTCTTGATAAGATCTAGAGATGGACATGCAATGCAATTGGCCCTGATCTGTCATCTCGTTTGCAGTCGCTCTCTCACAGACGTGCCGTCGTCCTCTCTCTTTTTTACAAATACTTTCATGGTAATAGCTCCGATGAGCTGCTTTCGCTGGTTCCCAGAATTTATGAATTCAAGCGTCCCACGAGGCTGGCATCCCGCTCTCACCCTTTCACTGTTGAAATTGTTAAATTTAGCCGCCTCTTCAGCTCCAATAGCTTCATGTCTCGCACCTCTCGCCTGTGGAACTCCCTTCCCTATTCCAGTTTCCCTGATAGCTATAATCTCCAGCTATTCAAATGCAATGTCAATCGACATCTCCAGTTGCCTTGATCTATCCACCATCCTTCTCCTCATCCTTTCCTCTATCACTCCTATCTGCTCTCGCTCCAAATCCTCTGTAACCCCTTGTGTGCTAGTGGCTTCCAACCTTGCTTGAGGTAAAATGCTTAAAAAAATCACTAAAACCATTACCATCACTAAAATCACCCCGCAAAACTTTAAATTAAATAAGATAAAAATTGCGTACAAAATATTTAAATTTCGGTATATAATAACCCATATAGATTGATATACCGTTAAATAACACACACACACACACACACACACACACACACACACACACACATAATAATAATAATGGATACTTAATACCCGCTAGTGATTTACAAAAGAGGCCACATATAGAACAAGAGTAAGGATTGTGAGATGAGATCACTGATAAATTGGCTGATCTTTTAGATCTTGCTCTCGCTTCTTGAAGATGATTCAGACAAGCAGATTGAAAACTGCTGAGTCCACTAAAACACGTTGATCTTCATTCTACCCGCTCCAAGGCTAAGCGCTCAAGGGTGTTATGTGGTATATTAACTGCTGACAAGTTGCTTTTCAGCTTGTCTTTGTATCTTAGCCATGGGCTTCCTACATTCCTGTAGCCCTGATCTAACTGGCTGTACATTAGGATCTTGGGTATCCTGTCATCAGACATTCTCAAGACATGACCGGTCCACCGTAACTGAGACTGTATGATAAAAGTCTCGATTCCTTCAATATTACACTTGTTAAACTACGTTAGATGTCCTATCTTGAAGGTTAACTTCACAGATTGCACGCAGACACCCTTTATGGAAAGCATCCAGCTGGCGTATATGGTACCTGTATGGAGATCACGACTCTGAGCCCCCCTCCCCCCATTATATATATATATATATATATATATAGTTTACAAAATGCGCAATATCTGAGACAGAGTATTTGTAGATGTAAACAGTGTGGACATAGAAATGAACATTGCTTGGTGACTGGCAGTTTCAAGTCTTAAGTGATCATCACACCATATATATGACATTACTCTTTGTGTAGACTTCATATATACACAACTGGAGGATTAAACGAAATAAGTGACAGGGGAAACCTGCCCTTCCCAGTTCTTTTGTTTAGAGATAACGTTTTTGATTATTCAGAAATCATAACTTTGAGCTTATTTAATTGCTTTATATATATACTGAAAAAATACATTGCCAAAAAACTTGTCAGGTGGTGAATGTTTCTGTTCCAGCAGATGGCAGCATAGATATGAAAGAAATTGAGAAACTTCAAAAAATATCTTAACAGAATCTTAAGAGAAAAGAAAACTGTAGATTTTAAAATGGACAGTTGTACCGATCATTACTCACGCACCTGGAAAAGTCCTAAAAATTTAGCAAAAGAATTATAAGAACTGGAGATCTGAGAGAGAATCGGGAATAAATCCAGGGGTCAGCAACCTTTTACTAACTATATACTGACTTAGGGTTTTAAAATCATTTAGTGTGCCAACAGTATACGTATTTTTATACAAGTCAAGGTCAATATGCCTGTTCTATAATATATTTTATATAGTAATATATAGTATATATACTTTAGTAGATATTAAAATTGAAACAGTTAAATATCTTTGAGTTGTAGTAGTTATTGGTTTGGACTTTGTGATGTCATTTGCAACTGCGTGCCATTGAAAATTACTTGGATGGCCACGTGTGGCAGGCATACCGTAGGTTGCTGACCCCTGAAATAGACGATAGCTGAAAACAACCAGGTTACTGTGGAGATTTCTGGTGTGTTAAGGAAACCTGTTACTTTATCTCCTGTTGTACGCGTTATGTGAATAATCAAACTGGTTCTTTATTTTTCTGTTTCTTATTTCAGTCTTGAGGAAGGGAGCAACGATCCGGAGCTAGAGGCGCCTCTTCTCGTGAGTGCCCCGGATCAGCGTACCTACAAGATGGAAGTGGAATGGAAGAACAAGATCGGAAAGCTCTTATGGCTCACATGGTCCTTCGGACTCGTGGTATGTGTCACTCGTTTTCAAGTATAGTTTATTTAAGATCATAGCGACAACACTTATCTTTTTCACCGTTGCAAAATCACAGCCTTTCAGCAAATGAGGGGTTAAATTAGAGATTGATTTTCTTCTTCACCCAATCTGGGAACATATATCATTTGAGCTCCTCCAACGGAAAGACAAAAATGTCTTCAACGTTTTTTTCTTTTCTTCTGGCGCTCTCTTGGCTACAGCACATAAATGGTTGCATTTTGTTACACATTTCATGGTTAAAACCGTAATCACACGTATACTTAAATCCCATGATCTTACTTCGTACCACTCTGTCCGTATTCAGTCACATGTACAGTTATGACTTGAATTCAAACCAAGCTGTTGTATATATGACATACGGCTTTTCTTTTTTTACTGAAATAACTATATTTTACCGTATTTTCTGACTTGATATGATGCAAATTCAAATATTACACAGCGTGCAATGCACTGATATTGTACATATTATAGCCCTATGCCATCATTCAGTAATCACCGTCTTGATTCATGGCTTCTGGCAATCTCTTTTCACTTATTTTAATTACTCAACATACAGATAGCGTGGAAATTTGCTAAAACAAATTTTAGCTCAGAATTAATTTCGTAATCATGCATTTTTTTCCCTAAACGTGAGATATATTTAATTTTCTGATGCCTTAAATTAAATAAAACCATTTGAAGAGATGAAGTTACAGTTCATTAAATAGGATGCAATGAATTAAAATGACAAAACCCTGCCTATTTTTTTTATTACCTTATCACTAAAGAGCTTTTTATTACGATATCCCCACAGGGCTTATTATTACGATATCCCCAAAGGGCTTTTTTTTTTTTTACAATATCCCTAGAGGGCTTTTTTTTACAATATCCCTAGAGGGCTTTTTTTTATAATATCCCTAGAGGGCGTTTTTTTTTTACAATATCCCTAGAGGGCTTTTTTTATAATAACCCTTGAGGGCGTTTTTTTTACAATATCCCTAGAGGGCTTCTTTTATTTATTTTTTTTACAATATCCCTAGAGGGCTTTTTTTTTTTACAATATCCCTAGAGGGCTTTTTGTTACAATATCCCTAGAGGGCTTTTTGTTAACAATATCCCTAGAGGGCTTTTTTTTTTTTTTTTTTTACAATATCCCTAGAGGGCTTCTTTTTTTGTTTTTTTACAATATCCCTAGAGGGCTTCTTTTTTTTTTAACAATATCTCTAGAGTTTTTTTTTTTTTTTACAATATTTTCCTAGAGGGCTTTTTTTTACAATATCCTCAGAAGGCTTTGGCAATCCTGACTTTTCACGCCTGATTTTTCTTTAATATCTGCGGAATGCCACTGAAAAATATGTGGTTTCCTGTTGTCTTCGCAACGGTTTGGAATTCAGGGTTTTCCTTGAAAAATGGCCGGAGATGGACATTTATAGTCAGAATTAGAAAGTGACAGTTGAAATTATTGGGGTACATAATGAGGAAAGAACGCTCGTGTAATTTGACATTCACAAGACATGTTGTAGGCAAGAGGGACAAAGGAAACAGCGACTAACCTAACAAGGTAGTGGATAATGGATACCAGAACAGGAAAGTGTAGACACGGATGGAATTGAACAATTTCAATAGTAAATTAGTAAGAGCATGCCAACTTTTGAAAACCTATAGCAAACCGACTTAAGCAAAAAAGAAAATGTTATAGTTGAAAGCAATTTGCGTTTGGGGTTTTGAAAAACCTTTGTGATAGACGAAAGAATTCAACGCATTTGTGATAGATCGTTATAGACATTATTGTTATAGCCTTCCAAGATTAGAGACTTTAATGTTGATTCTAGAAATAATAATTCTCTGTTCGTTTGATCATTTTCTTTATTCGAACAAAGTCTAAACATATTTAATTCTCTTTGCAGGGAATCGACAATGGAATCCTGGGGCCAAGTCTGCTGGACCTGCGTTCTCTGCTACATGTTGACATGTACCAAATGAATCCAATTTTCATTTGTCAAGGAATTGGATTCATTATCGGTTGCATTATAGCCGGATTGCTTTCAGAAAAAATCAATCTCGACATGTTTCTCGGTGTCTCCCTTTTGCTCGGTTCAGCCAATAATGTCTTCATCCCTCTCACACACAGCATCTACCTCATGTCAACTTTCTTCTTTATGCAAGGACTCACAAAGGGTCTTGTTGATGTCAGTAAGTAATCGCCATTATTTTGTCTCCTAGATTCTTTTTTCGTTATTTCTTTCTTTCTTTTGTTCTTCCATTCTTTCTCCATGTTTATCCCGTGTCGCTATAACTCTCCCGTCGATTTCGACATATGAGGGTCAACAAGTTCAATTAAAAACAAAACCTGAACCGTTAGGTTATCCACACAGATGATTTGATTATTGGGCTGAAAAGTTGTGAAGAACTACATTTTCCAGAAGAACAGATAACAGAGAAATAGTGCACAATGTGCCATTAAATTCCAAACAGCTCTGTTATTTAGCTCGTAGCAGGTGGGATGTAAAAAGATAGATACCTGCCTCTCCAAAGGGTATTGAGTTCCAAAATTCAAACCAATTTGAGCTTGGAATGACAATCCCTGTTCCGATAACCACTATACTACCCTCACGTCACCACACACACACACACACACACACACATATATATATATATCCACAGATTTACAGAAATAACAAGAAATCTAGATCTACTTAATAAGAATGATAAAATGAAAGTTATACTAAAACAACCAAAATAAAAGCAAACGTCAATCAAAAAACTAAAACACATATTAATTTCATCCAAATTTAATCGACATACAATACAGGGATCACAATATGCAACAAGAAATGATGTAGGGTTTGTGATATCATTATAGGAGACTCCTACATAAAACACCCCAACAAAATTCACAATAAAGAAAAACTGAAACTGCAACTCCAAAAATGTGCTTTATACATTCAAGTGCACAAAATGCAACAAATCTTATATAGGTATCACCCAAGCACTAAACAACAGAATTTCTCTTCACAAAAGCAATATTAAATTACCAGATAACAGGAAACATTTTGTGTAATAACAAGTGCAGCATAGGTAAATTTAAAATTATTCCAATATATCAAACAGACGATTACTCTTACCTACAAACAAAAAAAAAAAATTATAGACAGATTTAAACAACATTAAACAAATATTAAGCCCACACACATAAACATACACCATAGTCACAAAGTGGCCAAATACACTAGTCGGACCACACACACACACACACACACACACACACACACACACCATACAAAATACATGTAGTTATTATGTAGATTTCTTTATAATAATATAATATATAGTATATATGTATGGAGAACGAATATATACACGCATACTGAAAAAACACACACACTAGATGGGCGAAATGCGCGCGCGCGCGCGCGCACACACACACACAAGAACCCTACATACCATACAATGTCCGTATATATATATACTATTGCCTTGTAATAATATATATATATATATATATATATATATATATATGTATGGAGAAAGAAATATATATATATATATATATATATATATATATATATATATATATATATACAGATACTAGCAAAAACACACACACAATACACAAAAATGGAGAAATGTTTAAAAAGATACTGTGGACATGAAAAGATAAGTACCAAAATCCTTATATCCTTTCCCTTTATTTGACCCATCCTAATTGTTTTATTACCCCTTAAGCAAAGGAAGATTTTCCGCCAGTCCAAGAAGAATTTGGATTACCACACACAAAAGACAATGGTTTAAGATAAAGAAACATAAGAAGAAATTAAATCCTTTAAATAAAATGCGGAAATAACCATTCTTCGCCTGATGAAGGCCATAAGGCCCGAAACGTGTATAGCAAAAAAATTGAAAAAAAGTATAATATATAAAAAATTGCACATTGATTTTGCCAAGAATTTTCATTGTTCTGTAATATTTAAAAACAAGTAATTTCAGCGAGCGAGTGTTTTATGATTGGCTTATGCGATTACTTGATAAACAAATTAAAACTGAGATTGTTTTTAAGTAAAAAGTGTCAGCTAAACAATAACTGTCTTATTCATCGACTTAATTTTTCCTTGTATTTCTTTCACATCTCTCCGTGTGCACGTTGCTAATCTTATTTAATTCCCATTTCAGTTTGCTTGGTCATCTGCCTCCGACTGTTTCCCAACAAACGCAACTGGCAAATGCAGTTTGTCACGGTGGCTGCATCCCTTACCTCATTCCTTGTTCCATTCATTGTGGTCCAATTCCAGAGCCGGCCCCTGGGACGGATCCCAAATACTCCTAATCCACCAGCATTCGAAGCTATCCCTTCCCACAGCAACAGTAGCAGCACCCCCAATGAAATTCAGATCATGAGTCCCTCTCACATTGAGTATGCTTTTTTCATTACGGCAGCTATCATGGTGCCACCGATTATCGCCTTCTTCTACTTCTTCATCCGGGATGGTTGCCAGGCATCTGTAAATGGTTATGAAACTGATGAGATGAACCAACCTATCGTTGACCAGAACAAATACCCATGGGAAAAGAAATGGAAAATGATCGTCCTGCTGTTTCTTTTCCATATTCCTATTTTTGGTATCCTCCTTGCCTACAGCAACCTCCTTACAAGTTATGGCATCGCCAGTTCTTTGAATTTTACGAAAGCAGAATTAGGTTTTATGACTTCACTCTTTTGGGGATCCTTCCTAGTTGGACGTATTCTAACCACCAGCTTTTCGAAAATCATCGACATTGGGATTTTGTTAAGCATGAATTTTGTCGGCCTGCTTACATTTGCCGGTCTCTTGGTTGTACAATATAATATGAAGAACGACACTTTATTGTGGGTCGCTACAAGTGGTTTTGGTCTTTTCCAGGCTTCATTCTTACCGTCGGTGATTTCCTGGTCTGGAAGTTTCTTGAGAGTCGACGCTCTTGTTGTAACTGTGTCCTTAATTGCCAGTGGCCTCGGTGAAATGACGATCCCATATATTACAGGGGTCTTATTCGAAACTTACGGCTACTCATGTCTTGTCTATATGGTGTTGGCTATGTGCCTGGCTGAATTCGTTATGTTCTTGTTAATGGCATTACTCAACCATCGCTACGAAAAACAAAGTCAGATTTGATCGAATCATTCATTTACTGACTAATCGATAACAGATAATTCCACGACCGATATTTATTTTTGGAAAGAGAGAAAAAAAAAAGAATTTAAAAAATGAGATTCAAAGAGAATTAGATTTTTTAGCTTTAATCTAATATTTATTTTCAAGTTTCGGCAAAGTTTGTTAATAACATATATAATCATATAGGTAATCATATAAGTAATTATATAAGTATATACATACACATGTGATTCTTTATATGAAGACAAGAACGCACATAAAATTCTAATTTCAGCGGGAATTATTTTGAGGTACGGTTTTGAAAGGAAATCCAAGCATTAAAACCGCAGGCATGAAACAGCTAAAATCTGTTTGCCTTTAAAATGCTATTTCCGTAAGTAGACTTTATCTCTTCTGATGAACACCCGACATTCCAGTCTTTCATTCCATCTCTCTTATTTTCCACATTTTCTGCCAATTTCCTCTCTCTTTCATTTCTGAATTCTCATCTAATGGAATATACATTCGTCTCCTCTCTCTCTCTCTCTCTCTTTTTCTCTTCTCCCTCCTTTCTCTCTCTCTCTCTCTCTCTCTCTATATATATATATATATATATATAGTTTAAAGTTTCTATATTTATAGCGGAAGAGTACTCAATATCGGGGATAGGGCGTTTGTAGATGTAAATAGTGTGGACTCAACATTGTATGGTGACTAGTAGTTTCGTACATCACTCCATCATTAAACTATAAGAATATCTTTGATTGTTTAAGGAGTAAAATTGCAAGTAGCCATGCAGTGTTACTTTCTATGTCAACATGAAACGTGTACAACTGATTTGTTTTTCTTTCTTTCAAATGAAATATATTTTAAATTTACTAACAATAAGTACATCACACACACACACACACACATATATATATATATATATGAATGAAACGAAAAGAGGAAAATTAGTTTATCCGATGCGTTTCATCATTCGACGGACTTCATCAAGGCAAATGACGAAACGCTTTCGGCTAAATTAAATATAGCTTTCCTATTGTCTCTTCTACAGATGTACTCCTTCTGAGAATATATATATATATATATATATATATATATATATACCAAAAGAAACTAAGCTATTTGTTAATCCTCAAAGAACAACCGTACCGATACTAAGCCTGCCAAAAGCCTGAAAAGATAAAAGAGAAAGAAAATAAAACACAAGAAAAAAAAACAAAAAAAGAATAAAAATGACACCTAGCTATGCAAAAATCTAAAGTACTCAATGCCCCTCTAAATGTGAGACTAAGAAAAGTAATACTAACAAAATGAAACACAACTCATGAACTCAGATTCAAATCTTTTCTCGATTTAGAGTTCCACGTCAAGAGATAACGAGACTATAACTTCCTCGGTTCTAGTCGCCTGGCGATTGTTTTGCTGGCAACAAAATAACCATTAGGCTCTAAGTCCACGAGTACTGTTTGGTTTATATATATTTATATATATATATATATATATATATATA